AAGCTGAAGGATGTTTAGTGTTTGCTCGGAGTCTGACAGTAAGCTGAAGGATGTTTAGTGTTTGCTCGGAGTCTGACTGTAGCCTGAAGGATGTTTAGTGTTTGTTCAGAGTCTTATAGTAGTCTGAAGGATGTTCAGTGGTTGCTCGGAGTCTGACAGTAGTCTGAAGGATATTTAGTGTTTACTCAGAGTATTACAGTAGCCTGAAGGATGTTTAGTGTGTTCTGAGTCTTACAGTAGCCTGAAGAATGTTTAGTGTTTGCTCAGAGTCTCACAGTAGCGTGAAGGATGTTTAGTGTTTGCTCGGTGTCTGACTGTAGCCTGAAGGATGTTTAGTGTTTGCTTGGAATCTCATAGTAGCGTGAACGATTTTTAGTGTTTGCTCTGAGTCTCACAGTTGCCTGAAGGATGTTTAGTGTTTGCTCGGAGTCTGACAGTAGCCTGAAGTATGTTTAGTGTTTGCTCTGAGTCTCACAGTAGCCTGAAGGATGTTTAGTGTTTTCTCGTAATCTCATAGTAGCGTGAACGATTTTTAGTGTTTGCTCTGAGTCTCACAGTAGCCTGAAGGATGTTTAGTGTTTGCTCAGAGTCTGACAGTAGCCTGAAGGATGTTTAGTGTTTGCTCGGAGTCTGGGTGTAGCCTGAAGGATGTTTAGTGTTTGATTGGTGTCTCACAGTAGCCTGAAGGATGTTTAGTGTTTGTTCAGAGTCTGAGAGTAGCCTGAAGGATGTTTAGTGTTTGCTCTGAGTCTTACAGTAGCCTGAAGGATGTTTAGTGTTTGCTCGGAGTCTGAATGTAGCCTGAAGGATGTTTAGTGTTTGCTCGGAGTCTGACAGTAGCCTGAAGGATGTTTAGTGTTTGCTCTGAGTCTTACAGTAGCCTGAAGGATGTTTAGTGTGTTCTGAGTATTACAGTAGCCTGAAGGATGTTTAGTGTTTGTTCTGAGTATTACAGTAGCCTGAAGGATGTTTAGTGTGTTCTGAGTATTACTGTAGCCTGAAGGATGTTTAGTGTTTGCTCGGAGTCTGAGAAGCAGAATAAAGAAAATAAATAAAAAGGAAATATGTCATTAGTGTGGCATAATCATTATGGCTACTTCCCAAATGGCACCCTATTCCCTATAGTGCACTACTTTTGACCTATAGGGGAATAGTGTGCCATTTGGGACGTACCCTCGAACATTTTATGATCACCACGAGGAATATAACATCACCGCTGGTGGCAATCTGTGGCCAATGTGTTGTTAAGATCATTTACATAATGTACATCATGAAAGTACGTAATGAAAGTACACAACAACTGTTTGTATTTTTCTTGATTTGTACCAGGAGGGGAAGAGGAGGAGGAGAGGAGGACCAGGAGGAGAGGAGGAGAGGAGACTGAATGTTAATGTCTCAGAGCTCTCTCTTTCTCTAGCCTGCAGGTTGTGGGGAAATACATGGTTGAACAAAACACACATAGAGAGAGGTTCCAAACGGCACCCAATTCCCTATGTACTCTATAGTGCACTACTTTTCACCAGAGCCTAGATAATAGGGTACCATTTCAGATTCAAACAAATAATCCCAACCCCTCTTCAAATGGATAAAGGCCGGGATTCAAGCCGATAGCCCCTTTTTGGCTTTGCACCTTTTAAAGACAATGATCGCGGAGACCGCATTAATGGTAAATGATACATATGTCAGCTCAATTGGAAAATTGGAAATTACCTTTAAATGTCACAGGCGCTCTATTACATGGATCTACCTCTGATCGGATTGAATCCCAGCCTAAGAGTCAAATTGTTCTCTTAAAATAATGTGGGAAGTACCATTCCCATGCCACCCACCAGTCTCCTGTGAGAGACGCCATTGCGAGAAAAGTTACATTTCAATTAAAATCTAATTTACTCTGTTGTTGAGATGAATTCACTGGTGTTGTGAATTAGCACATGTATTTGCATATTGGGATGCGTGCCAACACGCATGTATGATCATTTACAATCACTTCCCTTAAAGATTGACATAAGAGCAACGATGCATGAGTTAGTCTGTCAGAAGAACACAGAAAACATTGACAAAATATCAAAACATCAGAAGACATTATTCATTCAAACTCACAGCGTGATTATTTTTATTTAAATAAATAAAAATTCGGGGGGGGGGAACTAGATTGGAAGAGTATGTGTCTGATTCTCAGGCTGGGATTCAATCCGATCACATGTTTGTTGACAATGTGCCTTTTAAAGGCAAGATTCAAGGTAAACGCTGCAGATATTAACGCCTTACCTTTAACTGTCAAGCGTGCTATAACGCGGTTTCATATTGAATCCCAGACTGGAGCTAGTTAACCTTGTGATGGAGAGGCCGTAGCCCGACAACATTTTAAGACACCCAGCTGAAACTAGCCATTCCTGGTCACCTTTAAAACTCAATTTATAGTTTATGCCATCCATACAGTCTTTACTTAATTCCTCCCTTTACGCCCAGGACGTCCTCCTGTTTAATCATCTCTCCTTCAAGCCCCAGTCAAATTGTCCACATTAAATTGTCTTCTCATTTTTACAAGCTCTTTTGACAAAGCGCCACCACACGTTATTGATTCCTTCTCTCAATTAAATAAAGCTTTGCTCTCTTCATCTCTCTACTCTCCGATCCTGGTAAAGAGTTGTAACACATTAGCCAGAGACCCCCCGTCCAACACAATCAACACAATCTCCATTCCACTCCTACCAGGGACATGATCAGACGGTGAATTGATTCCTTTTATTGCTGCTGAAATAACTATAATTGCAAACCACACAGAGGAAGAAATTGGAAAGTGATTCATATATACATTTGCCAGGTGTATTTTCCCATTCTTTCAAATCAATAAAATGTGTCATTAACATTTGTAATAAAAAAAGTTTATTTCTCTTTTTAATTCAAACTTCAATGTTCATTTTCCATGTTAGTCATTTAGCAGACGCTCTTATCCAGAGCCACGTACGACTAGTGCATTCATCATTCATCAATTCAGCACATTTCAACAATCACAGATGGATTACTTTGCTACACTTTCTCATTTTATTTGGTTCAGGAGGTCCAAATAAGATTATGTTATTAACTATAAAACGTCTTGATTTACATATTTATCAGTTGAATGAGCAAAGCCCTACAATAGGCTAGGCGTATCAACATGATTGTGTGTGGATGCAACACATTAACACTCCAGAAAAACCTCCATAGACACGGATAAACATCTCTTTATTGAGATCTTTCTCTGAAATTACCATATTATTACCATATTAACCGAATGAGTGATATTATAGCCTTATAAAAGATCACACAGGCTTTCAGATCTCTCTGAACCTTTAACTCATCATCTTTATTGAGATCTTTCTCTGATCGCTCCTACTATTATGTCAGTTTGAAGCCATCAGTGACAGACGGCTGGACTGCACAGGGTTTTAAACTGGAGAGGAGAGGCTGTTGGTCACAACCAAAACACCTAAACTTAGCTGGGGTTCAATGTCCAAAGACTAGGGACCAACCATGTCATCCAGAACTGAAGAGAAAGGGGACGGAGTTGAAATTCTCCACTACAAAGTCAGTCAGGCCAGGAGCGGAAAGGAGAGAGAGAGAGGAGAGACGGAGAGAGAGAGACAGGGAAGGAGAGAGAGGAGAGACGGAGAGAGAGAGACAGGAAAGAAGGGAGAGAGAGGAGAGATGGAGAGAGAGAGACAGGAAAGGGGGAGAGAGAGAGGGAGAGATGGAGAGAGAGAGACAGGAAAGGAGAGAAAGAGAGGAGAGACGGAGAGAGAGAGACAGGAAAGAAGGGAGAGAGAGAGAGAGGAGAGAGAAAGGAAGGGGAGAGAGGAAGGGGAGAGAGAGAGAGAGGAGAGGAGAGAGGAGAGAGAGAGAGAAAGGAAAGGAGAGAGAGAGGAGAGATAGAGACAGGAAAGGAGAGAGAGAAGAGAGAGACGGAAAAGAGAGAGACAGGAGAAAGGAAGGAGGAGAGAGAGGCGAGAGGAGGAGAGAGAGAGGAACAGGAAAGGAGAGAGAGAGAGGAGAGATGGAGAGAGAGAGACAGGGAAGAAGGGAGGAGAGAGAGGAGAGATGGAGAGAGAGAGAGACAGGAAAGGGGAGAGAGAGACAGGAGAGACGGAGAGAGAGAGAAGGAGAGAGAAGGAAAGGGAAGGAGAGAGGAGAAGGAGAGAGGGAGAGAGGAGAGAAGGAAAGGGGAGGAGAGAAGGAGAGGAGAGAGAGAGAGAGAGAGAAGAGAGGACAGGAGAGACATGGAGGGAGAGAGAGGAGAGAGGAAGAGAGAGGAGAGAGAGGACAGAAGAGAGAGGGAGGAGAGGGAGAGATGAGAGAGAGAGACAGGAAAGAAGGGAGAGAGAGGAGAGATGGAGAGAGAGAGAGACAGGAAAGGAGAGAGAGAGGAGAGAGACGGAAAGAGAGAGACAGGAAAGAAGGGAGAGAGAGGAGAGATGGAGAGAGAGAGAGACAGGGAAGAAGGGAAAGAGAGAGAGGAGAGATGGAGAGAGAGAGACAGGAAAGAAGGGAGAGAGAGGAGAGACGGAGAGAGAGAGACAGGAAAGAAGGGAGAGAGAGGAGAGACAGAGAGAGAGACAGGAAATGAGAGAGAGAGGAAGTGGGCGAGTGAAGCCTCCATGTCTCTCTCCCCTCCTCTCCCTCTCCTTCATTGTTATCTGGGTGATGACAGTCCTGGGGGTGAGTCAGATGGAATCTGACCTCAGGTCAGCTCTCTGCTCGTCTAGAGGGGGAATTATGGGATGGCTAACCCGCCAGTCGCCCGCGGCAACACACATCTATCCGTGACTCGGGATGAGGCCTCCACCAGCGGTGGACAAATCCTATAACCACCGTTTTCCCAGCCTTCCTCAGGATCCCCCAACAACCTCACCCCCGCTCTCTCGTCACCCCTTCCTCACCCTCTCTCTCGTCACCTTCTCCTCACCCCTACTCAGCCCCTCCAGCATCCTTCCTCTCTGCTTTCCCTCTCCTCCCATCTCATCTCAGGCTGAAGGAGTAATCCAGACCTCTGGAAATCTTTTAAGATTCATGGAAAAGAGGAGCCAGCGGGAGAATGTGAAGAGACAGACAGACAGGCTGGACACCAGGCTGGACACTAGGCTGGACACCAGGCTGGACACCAGGCTGGACACTAGGCTGGACACCAGGCTGGACACTAGGCTGGACACCAGGCAGGACACCAGGCAGGACACCAGGCAGGACACCAGGCTGGACACTAGGCTGGACACCAGGCTGGACACTAGGCTGGACACTAGGCTGGACACCAGGCAGGACACCAGGCAGGACACCAGGCAGGACACCAGGCTGGACACCAGGCTGGACACTAGGCTGGACACCAGGCTGGACACCAGGCAGGACACCAGGCAGGACACCAGGCTGGACACTAGGCTGGACACTAGGCTGGACACCAGGCTGGACACCAGGCTGAACACCAGGCTGGACACCAGGCTGGACACCAGGCAGGACACCAGGCAGGACACCAGGCTGGACACTAGGCTGGACACCAGGCTGGACACTAGGCTGGACACTAGGCTGGACACCAGGCAGGACACCAGGCAGGACACCAGGCAGGACACCAGGCTGGACACCAGGCTGGACACTAGGCTGGACACCAGGCAGGACACCAGGCTGGACACCAGGCTGGACACCAGGCAGGACACCAGGCAGGACACCAGGCTGGACACTAGGCTGGACACTAGGCTGGACACCAGGCTGGACACCAGGCTGGACACCAGGCTGGACACTAGGCTGGACACTAGGCTGGACACCAGGCAGGACACGAGGCAGGACACCAGGATGGACACTAGGCTGGACACCAGGCTGGACACTAGGCTGGACACCAGGCTGGACACTAGGCTGGACACTAGGCTGGACACTGTGTAACGCCTGCAGACTACTGCAACACTGTGGAGAGAGGAGGGAGGGCTGGGGAACACTGGGGGGAGAGGAGGGAGGGCTGGGGAACACTGGGGGGAGAGGAGGGAGGGCTGGGGAACACTGGGGGGAGAGGAGGGAGGGCTGGGGAACACTGGGGGGAGAGGAGGGAGGGCTGGGGAACACTGGGGGAGAGGAGGGAGGCTGGGGAACACTGGGGGGAGAGGAGGGAGGGCTGGGGAACACTGGGGGGAGATGAGGGAGGGCTGGGGAACACTGGGGGGAAGAGGACCTTTTAAAGGGTAAGTCTCAACCCCAATTTCAGCCTTCGACCAACCCCTTCAAATTTTCAACAAATGCATTCAGGTGAGAAGTTGTGGGTGGGGGGAATTGCTCATAAATATTAATTTTTCAGGTGGGTAAACGTAGTTGTACCTGATCCCAACACTTTCTCACTAAAGCATACTTACCAGAAGTCCACTGGAACGCTCTGATAATAAAATTATGTGCATTGCGAGCAAACACGGCTCTGGACAGTTAGTTCACAGTGGTAAGGCGCAGAGTTCCTGATATCTATTGCCACTTGCGGTGTAAATTCGAATCCCCCATGGGGCTAAAAAAAAGAATAGCTCAAATGTGGACTCACATTTACTGTGGAATTGTGTTGGGAAGAAAAGTGCACCTTGAACATGAAGATTAGGGGCTCAATTCAATTCAACCCATATTGCAGTATCTCTTTTTCCAATGGTCAAATTAACTCACAGATTGGTCTTGGGTACTGTATAAAAACCCACAACTACTACCAGGGCGACCCCCCCTCACAGGTATGCTTTCACTTTTCAGAATTAGAAGTGTGTGGGCACGGGATCAATATTGTAAATCAAGGATTTTAAGAAAAAAAATGAGATTGGAACTCTATGAACCATCCAATCTGTCTTAGCAGACTGCCCCACCAATCTGTTTTAGCAGACTGCCCCACCAATCTGTTTTAGCAGACTGCCCCACCAATCTGTTTTAGCAGACTGCCCCACCAATCTGTTTTAGCATTCTGCCCCACCAATCTGTTTTAGCAGACTGCCCCACCAATCTGTTTTAGCAGACTGCCCCACCAATCTGTTTAAGCAGTTGAGATAAATGTAACATATTGAGATGACCACCATCTTTTTCTTGTTACGATGGATGTAGCTACGAACATAAACGTATATAATCCTCATAGCCTACATGTTTTGTTTTCTTCTTAAAAGCAAAAAGATGTGTATGAAACATTAAGCAAAAACATTGAATTTGGTCATATGTGGAAATGTACCTTACTGCCTTTTGAATTTTGTGTTTATGTCAGTCAAGGAAGCATCACGCAAAATATATTGGCACACTCCACTTACCAAGACCATTGCCAAATAAGGGAGATGGGTGCAATTGTGGCCTGCAATTCGGGGCGTTCCTGCATGTGGGCGTTCCTGTATGTGGGCGTTCCTGCATGTGGGCGTTCCTGTATGTGGGCGTTCCTGTATGTTGGCGTTCCTGCATGTGGGCATTCCTGCATGTGGGCGTTCCTGTATGTAGGCGTTCCTGCATGTGGGCGTTCCTGTATGTGGGCGTTCCTGTATGTGGGCGTTCCTGCATGTGGGCGTTCCTGCGTGTGGGCGTTCCTGCATGTGGGCGTTCCTGCATGCGGGCGTTCCTGCGTGTGGGCGTTCCTGCATGCGGGCGTTCCTGCATGTGGGCGTTCCTGCATATTGACGTTCCTGCATGTGGGCGTTCCTGCATTCTCTTTATACTTCTATTGGACAATTGTAAAAATAATAACAGTAATAACATTTTTATTTTTTATTTTTTATTTCACCTTTATTTAACCAGGTAAGCCAGTTGAGAACAAGTTCTCATTTACAACTGTGACCTGGCCAAGATAAAGCAAAGCAGTGTGATAAAAACAACACAGAGTTACATATGGGGTAAAACACATAAAGTCAAAAAATACAACAGAAAATCTATATACAGTGTGTGCGAATGTAGCAAGTTATGGAGGTAAGGCAATAAATAGGCTATAGTGCAAAATAATTAAATACGATAAAAAACAACAACAACAAGACAGAGCTAGGACTCTGGTACATAGGTGGGAGGCGGGGGCGCCCCAGTACAGTAGGTGGCGTTAATTAACAATAACTTCGGAAGCCAGCCGTCGATAAACCCCACAGAAGAAGAAGAAGGGGGCGACAACGGTAGCTAGCTAGCCGTAACCTGGTATTCATGAAGGAACCACCAGGAATGCTGGGCTGCAGTTGCACTATATTGAAATAAGGCACGCTGTCACCTGCTTTTATGGTATGCCTTGAGGTTTGCACCACCCAGCAAATCTAGAAGGGAGTGTATTGTATTTCATACTGAACCCTTGAGATGACATAGACGTCGTGATTTCAATGGTAGAGTTGAACCACTAGGGGCAAAAGGAGCTGCATTTACTAGTAGAATACCCAAATATATCACTTTTGCAATGAACTGCCAAAATTAAGACCAGAATTTAAATGTTTTTCCAGGTAGAATATTACAGCATGTCTCAAAACTCTGAAACGTAACAAGGTTGATCAATTAATTTGATTTGCACTGTAATAATACAATGAACGTTTTTGAGGGGGAAGATGGTAAGAAATATCAAAAGTCCATTAAGTAAAACATTGTCTATTGAAATGACTGAATCATTTCCCAGCAGGTCATATTTGACCCTGATACCACATTTGCACAAGCAAACACACACACATGCACAAAATGATTGCTGCATTTTGTGAAGGCCACAAAAACACATGAAGCACAACTCCATTACCTCACACACACACGTGTGCACGCAAATGCACACACTCACACACACACACACACCACACACACACACACACACACACACATTCACACACACCACACTCACACACACACACACACACACACACACACAGCCTGCAGGTAAAACGTGGTACCATATGGAGAACGATGTGGTTTGTGTGAGTGTGTGTGTGTGTGTGTGTGTGCATGTGTGTGTGTGCATGTGTGCGTGTGCGTGTGTGTGTGTGTGTGTGTGTGTGTCTCCAGCACAGCAAGGGGTCTTTCTCCTCCAAAACAACATTTAAAAACGGAGGGGAAACGTGTGTGTGTGTGAGTGTATGTGTGTGTGTGTGAGTGTGTGAGTGTATGTGTGTGTGTGTGTGTGTGTGTGTGTGTCTCCAGCACAGCAAGGGGTCTCTCTCCTCCAAAACAACATTTAAAAACGGAGGGGAAACGTGTGTGTGTGTGTGTGTGTGTGTGTGTGTGTGTGTGTGTGTGTGTGTGTGTGTGTGTGTGTGTATGTGTGTGTGTGTGTGTGTGTGTGTGTGTGAGTGTATGTGTGTGTGTGTATGTGTGTGTGTGGGGGGGGGGGGGGGGGGGGGGAGAGTAAATGAGAGGGGAAATGAGAGAGGGGGAGCGATTAAATGAATTGGGTTCACCACTCTAACAACACCCACAGCAATGTTTACCCAGACAATAGAAACACAACCCAACAATCCCCTTTTAACTGTTTAGTAGTCGTAGGATGCATCCCACATGGCCCACTATTCTCTATATAGTACACTCCTTATGACCAACGCCCACAGGGCTGTTCTGTGGAAACATTGCTGTGGGTGTTGTGTTAGACTGGTGAACATACACAGGGCTCTGGTCAAAATTAGTGCACTATATAGTGAATAGGGTGCCATTTGTGCACTACATAGGGAATAGGGTGCCATTTGTGCACTACATAGGGAATAGGGTTCCATTTGTGCACTACATAGGGAATAGGGTTCCATTTGTGCACTACATAGGGAATAGGGTGCCATTTGTGCACTACATAGGGAATAGGGTGCCATTTGTGCACTACATAGGGAATAGGGTGCCATTTGTGCACTACATAGGGAATAGGGTGACATTTGTGCACTACATAGGGAATAGGGTGCCATTTGTGCACTACATAGGGAACAGGGTGCAATTTGTGATGTGTTCGTGTTGTTATTATAAATCAGATCTGATCCTTGACTAAATAGTTTGACCTGCTCTATAATAAATGAAAATGTATATTAATACTGGTGCCACCCAATGTGTGTGTTCTGTTAGAGAGGAGGTTCAGGAAGCCTTTGTGTGTGTAAACACTGAATAAATGTTAAATGTTGGGTTGTTTAAACCAAACAAAAGGGTGACTTGGGAGATTTGAGAAAAATTTCTTTGTTTTACAAACACACCATCAGGTCCCGTTCACACTCAGTGGGATTCTTCAAGAGTATTAGTGCTGGATGTGTCTTTGCTTAGCGTGTGAAGAGGGTGGAGTTGGTAGTTACAATGTTAATAAGAGTAATACAGTTTTAATTTAACAGCCTAATTACTACACTATCTGTGAATAAATTAGAGAGAGAGGGAGAGAGAGGTAGAGAGAGAGGGGGAGAGGGAGAGAGAGGTAGAGATAGAGGGAGAGGGAGAGAGAGGTAGAGAGAGAGAGGGAGAGGGAGAGAGAGGTAGAGAAAGGGGTAGGGGTTGATCTCAAATAAAATACAATTAAATACATTTTTCATTAGGGAAAATCAAGTCTGAATTTTCAAAGTGGATATTATACACTTTAGAAGCCTTTTAAAAACTGAAATACACTAAAGGTTTGCATATACTGCTGTGCAGGAAAATTCTCAGCAACAAAAGAGTGATCAAATTAAGATCCTACATCTTTAAGTGCAAAGACAGAATGAGATAAGAGATACAAATATAGTGATGTTCTTCTCCAAGTCTTCCTCAACAGCGGTCACAGCTCATCTCTGTATGTCCATAGAAGTCAATGCGCATAAATTACTATTATAATCATAGAGATTAACATGATAATGGCTTGTGTTAATAGATGCCAGGAAGAGGGAGTGACAGCACTCTGAAATGAGGAGACATGCTCGGGGGCAGTGGGCTCACACACACACACACACACACACACACACACACACACACACACACACACACACACACACACACACACACGCAAGCACACACACTCATGCACACACACACACACACAAGATCCAGCACAGGCACGCACACACACACGCACGCATAGACGGCGCATGTGTTTCAAGTGTGGTGAAGCAATGTTTTTCACAATAAAAAGTGCACCTTTATAATAAAGCATTGTATGCATCTTTCATGGCATTTGCAGACTTATGTAAGATAGCCTCCTATTTCTTAATGTGATGAGTAGATAGTCATAACGTGGTATAATAATAATAATAATAATAATATGCCATTTAGCAGACGCTTTTATCCAAAGCGACTTACAGTCACGCGTGCATACATTTTTTTTTCTGTGTATGGGTGGTCCCGGGGATCGAACCCACTACCTTGGCGTTACAAGCGCCGTGCTCTACCAGCTGAGCTACAGAGGACCCTTTTACTGAGGTGAGACCGAAAGATGTGCCAGTGTGTCCTCTGAATGAAATGAAAGCGATGAGTGGATAGATAGTCATAATGTAGGATGATAATAACTGTTTGCAAAAAAAAGACTGTTTAAATCAGCAGCCACATCAGAGACTTTCTACTCCTTTCTTTGCACAGGATTTTTTTTTTTGTGCCCTTGTATTAACACATTTCATGCAATTTCTATGACTGGAGTCTGTAGACATTAGCTGAATATTTTTTTTTAACACAACAAAAATGACAGGGTGACTCTGCTGACAAAGAGATCAATAAAAACAGTTTATTTATTGAACCTTTATTTTAAACAGGGAAGACATGTTATACATGTTATACATGTTATACAGTGGTCCTCTGTAGCTCAGCTGGTAGAGCATGGCGCTTGCAACGCCAGGGTAGTGGGTTCGATCCCCGGGACCACCCATACGTAAAAATGTATGCACACATGACTGTAAGTCGCTTTGGATAAAAGCGTCTGCTAAATGGCATATTATTATTACATGTTGAGATCCAGGTCTCATTAACAGGGAAGACATGTTGAGACCTAGGTATCCTTTGCTAATGCGCCCAGTGCTATGAAAAAGTATTTGCCCCCTTTCTAATTTTCTCTACTTTTGCATATTTTTGATACTGAATGTTATCAGATCTTCAACCAAAACCTAATATTAGATAAAGGGAACCTGAGTAACAAATAACACAACAATGACATACTTATTTCATTTCTTTCATAAACAAATCTCTGCAACACCCAATGCCCAATGCCCCTGTGTGAAAAAGTAATTGCCTCCTTACTCTCAATAACTGGTTGTGCCACCTTCAGCTGCAACCACTCCAACCAAATGCTTCCTGTAGTTGTTGATCAGTCTTTCATGTCGCTGTGGAGGAATTTTGGCCCACTCCTCCATGCAGAACTGCTTTAAATCAGCGACAATTGTGGGTTTTCAAGCATGAACTGCTTGTTTCAAGTCCTGCCACAACATCTCAATTGGGATTAGGCCATTCCAAAACTTCAAATGTGTTGCTTTATAGCCATTTTTATGTAGACTTAATTGTGTGTTTTGGATCATTGTCTTGCTGCATGACCCAGCTGCGCTTCAGCTTCAGCTCACAGACGGATGGTCTGACATTCTGTAGAATTCTCTGATACAGAGCAGAATTCATGGTTCCTTCTATTAAGGCAAGTCGTCCAGGTTTCAAGGCAGCAAAGCATCTCCAAACCATCACACCACCACCACCATGCTTGACCGTTGGTATAAGGTTCTTACTGTGGAATGCAGTGTTTGGTTTTCGCCAGACATAATGGGACCCATCTCGTCCAAAACGTTACACTTTTGACTCATCTGTCCATAGAACATTCTTGATGATCATCCAGATGCTTCCAGGTGCTTTTTGGCAAACTTGAGTCAACTTTGTGGACGAGATGGGTCCCATTATGTTTGGAAAAACTCTAACACTGCATTCCACAGCTGCCCAAATTATGGGCTTCCCAACTGTAGGCTTGTGATTTAAAAACAGTTTTTTAACAGAAGCTAATGATCCTCTGTGACCAAATCAAAGCTTTCTGGTGTAGTATTTTTATTTATTTATTAACAGGCCCAATTATATAGCCTAATTTTGACAATTTAATTCAATTTACTTTTAGGGATGCTTCCCCTAGCATATTGGACCCGCCAGGCATGCAGGCATGCACAGACAACAGCCCAACAAGCCCTGTAGAATTAGATGTTTAGTCACATTTCTCCAAATGTCAAATTTTGAAGTGATTTGACACCCATATATATTTTACATTGGATAAAAGTAGAGACTCAGAGATAGAAAATGGTATATCATACACTACAGTTGAGGAACAATGAGAAAGTTATTCTGATTTGAAAGTTAATTAACTTGTAAACCCAATTAACTTGTAAACCCACGTTACAGCCTTATTCTAAAATTGATTAAATAATTTTTTCCCCTCACCAATCTATACACAATACCCCATAATGACAAAGTGAAAACAGTTTTTTTGAAATTTTTGCAAATATATTAAATACAGAAAATATACTTATTTACATAAGTATTCAGACCCTTTGGTATGTGATTCAAAATTGAGATCAGGTTAATCCTGTTTCCTTTGATCATCCTTGAGATGTCTCTACAACATGATTGGAGTCCACCTGTGGTAAATTCAATTGATTGGACATGATTTGGAAAGGCACACACCTGTCTCTATAAGGACCCACAGTTGACAGTGCATGTCAGAGCAAAAACCAAGCCATGATGTAGAAGGAATTGTCCGTAGAGCTCCAAGACAAGATTATGTCGAGGTACAGATCTGGGGAAGTCATTGAAGGTCCCCAAGAACACAGTGGCCTCCATCATTCTTAAATGGAAGAAGTTTGGAATCACCAAGACTCTTCCTAGAGCTGGCCGCCCAGCCAAACTGAGCAATCAGGAAAGAAGGGCCTTGGTCAGGGAGGTGACCAAGAACCTGATGGTCAATCTGACAGAGCTCTAGAGTTCCTCTGTGGAGATGGGAGAACCTTCAAGAAGGACAACTATCTCTGCAGCACTCCACCAATCAGGCCTTTATGGTAGAGTGGCCAGACGGAAGCCACTCCTCAGTAAAAGGCACATGACAGCCCGCTTGGAGTTTGCCAAAAGGCACCTAAAGGACTCTCAGACCATGAGAAACAAGATTCTCTGGTCTGATGAAACCAAGATTGAATTCTTTGGCCTGAATGCCAAGCGTCACGTCTTAAGAATGAGGGAGGCCACTGTGTTCTTGGGGACCTTCAATGCTGCAGACATTGTTTGGTACCCTTCCCCAGATCTGTGCCTCGACACAATCCTGTCTCGGAGCTCTACGGACAATTCCTTTGACCTCATGGCTTGGTTTTTGCTCTGACATGTACTGTCAACTGTGGGACCTTATATAGACAGGTGTGTGCCTTTCCAAATCATGTCCAATCAAGTTAATTTACCACAGGTGGACTCCAATCAAGTTGTAGAAACTTCTCAAGGATGATCAATGGAAACAGGATGCACCTGAGCTCAATTTCGAATCACATACCAAAGGGTCTGAATACTTATGTAAATAAGATATTTCTGTTTTTTATTTTTAATAAATCTGCAAACATTTCTAAAAACCTGTTTTTGCCTTGTCATTATGTGGTATTGTGTGTAGATTGATAAGGATTATTATTTATTTAATCAATTTTAGAATAAGGCTGTAACGTAACAAAATGTGGAAAAAGTCAAGGGGTCTGAATACTTTCCGAAGTCACTGTAGTTAAACACGTCCACACACTCGCACTCGCGCACACACACACACACACACACACACACACACACACACACACACACACACACACACACACACACACACACACACACACACACACACACACACACACACACACACACACACACACAAACACACACGCACACACACACACACACACACACACACTGGGGAATAGCCTAGGCATTAAGGCTATAGGTGGATAACTGGGGGTCGCCACCACACTAAACACTGCAAGGAGAGCTGAGTGAAAATTAATTAAAATGGCTGCATGTCGTCGTGTGGTGAATGACGGAGCTTTTGTTGGTCCTCTCTCTCTGCTTTGACAACAGGGGCCCGGAGGGGATTGGAGGTAGGACCATCCCAATGTGTCCCTAGTGCCACCCTACCCCTGGTGGCATTTGTTCATTGTCTACCTGCCAGGCTCTCCCCCTATCACCAGACAATCAGTAGCATACCAATGAAGCTGCTGCTGCCTCTTGTTGGTGCTAATGGTAATTACAACATCTCTGTGATATAAGACAATGGGGTCTAAGGAGAGGTGGAGGGGGGGGGGGGGGGGGAGAGGAGGGTAGGAGGACAGAGGGAGAGGGGGAGGAGAGGAGAGAGGACATGGGGGAGAGGGGGAGGAGAGGAGAGAGGACAGGGGGAGAGGGGGAGGAGAGGAGAGAGGACAGGGGGGAGAGAAAGAGGAGGTTAGAGGAGTACGGTGGACTGTTGAGGAGAGGAGAAGAGATGGAAAAAAAGCAGACTAACTTCATTTTTAAAAAGAGAGACTCTGTTTCTCCGGTTGGCACAGAGGAAGGGAAGGAGGGAGAGAGAGAGAGAGAGAGAGAGAGAGAGAGAGAGAGAGAGAGAGAGAGAGAGATTCTCCATCCTGGAGGGGGAAATAAATCATTTCCAGGCCCAGGGACATGTACTAGTCTGTGGTGACCTAAATGCCAAAACTGGACAAGAACCTGACACCCTCAGCACACAGGGGGACAAACACCTACCTGGAGGTGACAGCATTCCCTCCCCCATATGCCCCCCTAGGCACAACTACGACGACATAACCAACAAAAATGGGTCACAACTCCTGCAGCTCTGTCGCACACTGGGTATATACATAGTCAATGGTAGGCTTCGAAGGGACTCCTATGGTAGGTACACCTATAGCTCATCTCTTGGCAGTAGTACTGTAGACTACTTTATCACTGACCTCAACCCAGAGTCTCTCAGAGCGTTCACAGTCAGCCTACTAACACCCCTATCAGACCACAGCAAAATCACAGTCTACTTGAACAGAGTAATACTCAATCATGAGGAATCAAAGCCAAAGGAACTGAATAATATTCAGAAATGCTATAGATGGAAGGAAAGTATTGTCGAAAACCTACCAAAAAACAATTAGGCAACAACAAATACAATCCCTTTTAGACAACTTCCTGGACAAAATGTTCCACTGTAATAGTGAAGGTGTAAACTTGGTAGTAGAAAACCTAAACAGTATATTTGACCTCTCAGCTTCCCTATCAAATCTAAAAATATCTAACAGAAACACGAAGTAACAACAATGACAAATGGTTTGATGAAGAATGCAAAAACCTAAGAAAGAAATTGAGAAACCTATCAAACCAAAAACATAGAGACCCAGAAAACCTGAGCCTACGCCTTCACTATGGTGAATCACTAAAACAATACAGAAATACACTACGGAAAAAGAAGGAACAGCATGTCAGAAATCAGCTCAATGTAATTGAAGAATCCATAGACTCTAAACACTTCTGGGAAAATTGGATTTTTTTTGGGGGGGAAACACTAAACAAACAACAACACAAAGAGCTATCTATCAAAAATGGAGATGTATGGGTAAACCACTTCTGGAAATGAGGTAAAATTGATTTAAATTTCCCTGCGGGTGAGCATTTTCTTGTTTGCTTATGGCCCTTACGGCCCTATACAGCTGGTTGAGTGGGGTCTTAGTACCAGTGTCGGTTTGTGGTGGCAAATAGACAGCTACAAAAAATATAGATGAAAGCTATCTTGGTAAATAGTGTGGGTCTACAGCTTATCATGAGATACTCTAGTTCAGGTGAGCAGAACTCAGAGACTTCCTTAATATTAGAGATGGCGCACCAGCTGCTGTTAACAAAGAGACCATACACCCCTTGCCCTGAGCTTCCCCGATGCCACCGTTCTGTCTTGTCGATGTATAGTAGATATCCTATATATTTCCTTGTTCAATCACAACTACATTTTTCTTTTGATATTACAGTTCTTCAGATCACGTTGATATGGGACGGCTGTCAATCCTTTGGTCCTTAAGTGAAACTGATATACTTTTTTATTTATCACGGTTTTCCTTAACCAAATATGTTCTTTAATGCAAGGCCGACAGACAAGTTCCTTACTTTCTCCCCCTTCCACTTTCCTCTTCCACTTTTGCGGTAAGGCTGCAATTATTTGGTTGTAATTTTGGGTAGAGCAGACATTTCCATATGTTTTTTGTTAGCTGCATGTGCGACATAACTCCACCAGTCCTACCGATGATATCATTTACGAAGATTATACCTTTTTTAAACATTCTGTCCAAAAATAAAGGTTTTTTGTCAATTAGTCAATCAATTAGTATATTTGAATTTAACCACAATATTTGTTGCATTATTTGTTCTGTCGTTTCTGGAGGATTACATTGAAATTGCAACCAACTTTCTATGGCTTGTTTTAGAAATAGTGATATTTGGGAGATTATTTCCTTTTCAAATAACTGAAAAAGAGTTGTTGTAATCTGAATAAAGGGAAAAAGGCCTTTCTTGAACATTGGGTGAGACAATCTTACTAATTTGCTTGAGAACCAGTTCGGATTTAAGTATAACTTTTGTATGACTGAAGCTTTTAGTGATAGGTCTAATGCTTTAATATGTAATAATTTCTGTCCTCCAAATTCATATTCATTATATAAATAGGCCCTTTTAATTTTGTCTGGCTTGCCGTTACAAATAAAACTGAATATTTCTTTCTCATATAATTTAAAAAACTGTTCGCTAGGCGTAGGCAAGACCATAAGCAAATAGGTTAACTGGGATAATACTAAAGAGTTAATCAGGGTGATTTTTCCACAAATTGACAGGTATTTACCTTTCCATGGTAGCAAGATCTTATCTATTTTTGCTAACTTTCTATTAACATTTATTGAAGTGAGATCATTTATTTCCTTTGGGATATGTATTCAGAGTATATCCACATCACCATCAGACCATTTTATTGGTAAACTACATGGTAATGTAAAAATTGTATTTTTTAGTGATCCAATACGTAATATAGTACATTTGTCATAATTTGGTTGTAATCCAGAGAGGTTAGAAAATGTATCTAGATCCTCTATGAGGCTGTGGAGGGATTCTAGTTGTGGATTTAAAAGAAAACATGAATCATCAGTGTACAATGACACCTGTCTTTTTAAGCCCTGTATTTCTAATCCTCTGATATTATTATTGGATCTGATTTTAATAGCTAACATCTTGATGGCCACTATAAATAGATATGCCGATAGTGGACAACCTTGTTTCAGTCCTCTTGACAGTTTAAAACTTTCTGAAAAATAGCCATTATTTACCATTTTACACCTAGGGTTACTATACATGATTTTGACCCATTTTATAAGAGATTCTCCAAAATTGAAATGCTCTTATATATAAACCCCAGTCGTACTTTATCAAATGCCTTTTCGAAGTCTACTATGAATAGCAGGTCTGGTTTCCCATATTTTCCATAGTGTTCTATTGTTTCCAATACTTGCCTTATATTATCTCCAATGTATCTTCTATGTAAAAAACCTGTCTGATTAGAATGAATAATATCCGACAATACCTTTTTAATTCTATGCACTATACATTTTGCTATAATCTTTGCATCACAACACTGAAGTGTAAGGGGCCTCCAATGTTTTTAATGGACTGGATCTTTATATTTTCCACTTGTATCCTGTTTCAGTAATAATGAGATCTTCTTCTTGAGTGTCAGATAATCTACCATTTACATAGGAGTGATTAAAACATGCTAATAACGGTCCTCTTAGTATATCAAAAAAGTTTGGTATACCTCGACTGGTATGCCATCCAACCCTGGAGTTTTCCCGGACTTAAAGTCTTTAATTGCATCCAGAAGTTCCTCCTCTGTAATTTCATCTTCACATGAGTCTTTCTGTATGGCTGTTAATTTTACATTATCAACAGAAAAAAAATCTCTACAATTAGCTTCAGTTAGAGGAGATGGAGGCGACTGAAAAGAAAACATATGCTTAAAGTACTTTGTTTCCTCCTTCAAAATATAATTTGGTGAATCATGGGTGACTCCGTCAATTGTAACCAGTTTCATTAAATTATTTTTGGTAGCATTCCTATGTTGAAGATTAAAAAATAATGTTGTGCATTTTTCCCCATATTCCACCCAGTTTGCTTTATTTTTTTATAATATATTACACTTGATCTTTCTTGATAACACAGTTATTCTTGTTCAGTTTACTTATTTTCTTTTTGTCAAGCAAATATCATTTGTTCTGCTCATTCTGTTTTTGAGTTTTTGTAAACAATCTAACAAGTTCAACATAAGTGAAACATACAGTCTGAAATACAACACACAACCCAACAGATCACTGAAACAGCCTGTTTTGAAAATGCAACAGCTTTGTTAGAAAGCCATTCAGTTCCGTAAAAACCTTCTGAAAGACTTAAAAGGTGTAGCGGAGATCAGTAAAGGTACCTGAGGTTCATGGCAACAGCAAACACTACGTTGCCCAGATCCTGCAGCACCTTGACGCCCCTTCGAGGACAATCCCAGTGTCCTCTGGTTCGCGGTCTTTGATCATGTAGATCGGCCTCAGTAGTGTCCTTGGTGGACTCTTCATCCTCTTCCTCTTCATCCATGCCCTGAACAAGACACAAAAGGCAAAACTTGTCAATCGCACAAAATGAATCCTTCATCAATGAAGTGTTTACAGTTAGAGACGCTAGATTGCAAAAAGTATAGTCATGAAGCACAAGAGCATGATCCAGACGGAAATAAATGAAGACTGGAGTCCTTTTGAGTGTCGACTAAATCAAGAACTGCTGGTAATATATAATAAATATATATATAATATTTTAACACTGCCTATTAAGACTAAAATTTAAAGTTATAACCAAGATTTCAATCTATTCAGATTACATTTGAGACATAGACAATTTGATCACTGTATTCAGCATTCATGCAAACAAAAAAATACATGGAGTCTTTCATCTGAATAATACAATTCTGAATACAAAAAATAGTGCATTAACCGCAGCTAATGAAATAAGATGGAAGACAGAGGAGATGACACGGTCATAGAATAGTGATAGAATATGATGGAACAGGAAGAGAATGAAAAGTAAGGAAGAAGGAAACACCAATCTATTAACGTACCACATATTCCTGAATGAGGGTTTCTTTCACCCATATACACACACACTTTATCATACACTCTCGTCTGACATCTATGTTGCTATTTTAAGAAAATAGAAGAAGGATTTCTTTATTTATGTCTCATTTTGAAGTCAACTTTTGGTGTAGAACCACATATGAATGTGCCTTTTGAAGCATAAGGAATTATTCCATCAGCCGTGGGTGCCATGATTGATATGTCTTCTGCCCAGCTATCCTCCTCTTCTTTGGACCAACTTCAGCAGGTTATCTGAGAAAGACATTTGGACTGGAGTTGGGGTTGTGGTGATTCTCTTAAACTCAGCATTAACCTGAAAATAGTAATTAAACAAATTAGATTAAAAACTGCAGAAAGCAAAATAGACTGGAGATGATCACACAAGCAGCAAACTAGAGGGTTCTCTATAGAGAGAGAAATAACTAGGCAGTCATCACAAATGGTGATAACTCTGAATAAGGCTCACTTATGTGGCAAGCTGAGGGAAAATAATATTCTACCTTCACCAAGAACTCCCAGATAACATACCCAATAGATCAACCATAAGACAAGCATGGCTAACTTACCTCAATGACTTCAAAGAGCGCAGGCCATCTGGCCATGAAGTCCTCTACCGTGGGTGCGCCACGGTCAACTTAATGCCTCCTGTATGCAAACGTCTTCTCCATTTTGAACTTCACTGTCTCTCTGTTGTTCCTTTTCTTCACATCGGACAGTTGAGCTTTCCGCATGTCCTCGAGGCTCTCTTCTGTTTCTCCTGAGGGAGATGTGGGGTAAAAGTTCCCTTCTGCTCTCTTTGCCTTTATAACACCATAGGCTGCACTTGACTTCCCTGCAGGTTTGTGCTTCAAGGAGTTTATCGTCACCTCTGGACATCCCAGTCTTCTCAGGCGAGTGCGGTAGTTTGCCAGTTTGTATTTCAAACTGGTTTTCCATCCGCCACATCCAGTGAAGGAACACTTCTCAGTCAAACACGGATGCTTCTTGATTAGACTCTGTGCAACCTGTTCCATCTCTCCATCAGTGGCATGAACTTTATACTGGACAATTTCTTGCAACAAGCCTTCGAGTATGTCTGACTTCAACTTAGGCTCTGGAACAAGTAGAGAGCCACTTTAAAGGCGAGCTGAATTGGCCTGCTGAAGTTTTAGCTCGGCATCATGGGAGAATCGAGGCACACAGAACAAAGCAGGCCAAGAGGACCGTGAGCTAGTGGACTCTGGAGAAGACAGTGTGTCAGTGTCAACTGAGCCTCTGGATAGTGTTTTGACGAGTCATCGACGTGGCGACGATTGAAGGCGGAGGTTGTCGGGAGTGGGGTGTTGATACTGCTGGAGGTTTCAGCACAGTGAATTGTGGGGGATCTCTGACATGTCAATAACTTGAAGAGTAGCTCTGTCCACTACTTCTGAGTTCAGGTTAAAGAACTCATTTCCAAAAATAGGGTCCATGAACTGAAGTCTGAAGTTGCCGTGAAGTCCACAATGCTTCTTTACATCGTTCAAAAGGTCAGTCACAGATTCAGGTAGTCTGCAAGGGCAGGTCAGTCACAGATTCAGGTAGTCCGCAAGGGAAGGTCAGTCACAGATTCAGGTAGTCTGCAAGGGAAGGTCAGTCACAGATTCAGGTAGTCCGCAAGGGAAGGTCAGTCACAGATTCAGGTAGTCCGCAAGGGAAGGTCAGTCACAGATTCAGGTAGTCCGCAAGGGAAGGTCAGTCACAGATTCAGGTAGTCCGCAAGGGAAGGTCAGTCACAGATTCAGGTAGTCCGCAAGGGAAGGTCAGTCACAGATTCAGGTAGTCCGCAAGGGAAGGTCAGTCACAGATTCAGGGAGTCCACAAGGGAAGGTCAGTCTCTGGCAGCTGCCACCAATCAGGATGATCATCACGATTGCAGGAGTTGACGTCATCTTGCTTCTTAGTCTGCAAAGAAGACAGACAAGAACGACAGTCAAGGATTATTCTTCATGGTCCATAATACGTTAATTATATATTTGAAAGTTGTAAGAAATATAGTTTTCATATCTATTTTCTACTGATTAGGCAGGCAGGCATGCATATTCATTGATATTAAACATACTTAACCTCTTATTGGATAAGCCATTTCAAAGTGCGGACTGATCCAATGATGTAGTCAACCAGTGGATAACTGTCTGCCAGTTCACTTAGTGCCACTAGAGTGCCATCTCTTGTGGGAGCAGGACTAAGTTCTAAGGCTCTATAATGTTATCTGTACCAACCACACAGTTCCTTTAACAATGACAAACACACTCTCATGCAAAATGCAAATTTGAACAATTTCACCAAAATCTGGGTAATCCACCTGCTAATTTATGGGCAACTATCATTCCCTTCCTATAGGTTATGCCCTTACTTGTCACACACTGGGAAAGATGAACCTCAGGTGTGTCAGGGTACTTCTGTCTAATGGCTTCAGCTATTTTCATTTTTTTGAGTAAATCCACTGGGAGACAGTTGAGACCTCAGGTTCAGATTTGCTGAGATGTGGAGAGCTCAACTGGTAAGCAATCATCAGCTGATGCTCGGAGGTTAATGAAAGAGGCACTTTTTTCGAAGCACCTTGTGTGTCTGATAACTTGTTTTGGCCTCAAACCACATTGTCCATTGCCTTACAAGAGGACCAAAAAAAACTCATCATCCGGGGGGTGTTCCAGATAATGACGCTTCGGTAGAAGCCTAACTCTTTCTATCTATGCCTGTGATCAATTATTTTGCTTCCTAGATAAGAAATAGAGTCATCACTATGCACAGGGGCAACAACAAGCTCAATGATGTCTTTCGGGTCCATAAGTACAAGTCATGCTGGCTCATTTTCAGGTACAAGGGGGGGGGGGGGGGGGGGGGGGGCGATCCAAAATGATAACAACCTTAGCAAGCACCAGTTTTCATGAGTGTTTCCACCCACTGTTTTTCTACTGGACAAAACGGTGTGGTAACACGTGAGGACTGTTCGCCTTGTCTGACCACTCGTAGGGGAAATTCAGAATAGCTTTATTCGGGTCATCCAATGTAAAGAGTTGTCTTGATACAAGTAATGAATGCTAAGCAGTGAGACAGCTGGTTTGGGACAATACCCTCAAAAATATTGTGAGCAAGATCTGGAGGATAGCAAGAGATGACGTGAAAATGAGATAAGTTGCTTGTGAAAACACAGTCTTTCTTCACCACAAAAATGTTTGTACAAGTGTCTTGAGCGTGTTTTACATGAAGTTATTTTGTTCTGAAGCTGAAAGCACCAGATGCAACATAATGTAACTGAATATCACAACTCTTTCCTGTGCAAAACCTGCAATAGTACTCCCCTGAGAAACTCTCAATGAAACCAGCTATGCCGTGAGCTCCCAGATTGTCAGCCACTACACTCTGTACTTTACCTTTGACAGAAGTAGCAGAAACACAATAAAACAATTATTATCCACATGAGTGACATACAGTGCCTTGCAAAAGTATTCACCCCCCTTGGCGTTTTTCCTATTTTGTTGCATTACAACCTGTAATTAAATTGATTTTTATTTGGATTTCATGTAATGGACATACACAAAATAGTCCAAATTGATGAAGTGAAATGAAAACAATTACTTATTTCAAAAAATTCTAAAAAATAAATAACGGAAAAAGTGGTGCGTGCATATGTATTCACCCCCTTTGCTTTGAAGCCCCTAAATAAGATCTGGTGCAACCAATTACCTTCAGAAGTCACATAATTAGTTAAATAAAGTCCACCTGTGTGCAATCTAAGTGTCACATGATCTGTCACATGATCTCAGAATATATACACCTGTTCTGAAAGGCCCCAGAGTCTGCAACACCACTAAGCAAGGGGCACCATCAAGCAAGCGGCACCATGAAGACCAAAGAGCTCTCCAAACAGGTCAGGGACAAAGTTGTGGAGAAGTACAGATCAGGGTTGGGTTATAAAAAAATATCAGAAACTTTGAACATCCCACGGAGCACCATTCAATCCATTATTAAAAAATGGAAAGAATGTGGCACCACAACAAACCTGCCAAGAGAGGACCGCCCACCAAAACTCACAGACCAGGCAAGGAGGGCATTAATCAGAGAGGCAACAAAGAGACCAAATATAACCCTGAAGGAGCTGCAAAGCTCCCCAGCGGAGATTGGAGCATCTGCCCATGGGACCACTTTAAGCCGTACACTCCACAGAGCTGGGCTTTACGGAAGAATGGCCAGAAAAAAGCCATTGCTTAAAGAAAAAAATAAGCAAACAAACGTTTGGTGAATACTTTTGCAAGCCACTTTATGCCGTGAGCTCCCAGATTGTCAGCCACTGCACTCTGTACTTTACCTTTGACAGATACACCTAGGAGAGGGGCATAAACACCAAGTTCCTCCAGAGTTCATAGATCTCGTAGAAGAGGTTCTAAAACCTTACCATAACCATAGGTTTGAACATCATTGCTCTTGCACAGAACCACTAAATAAATGCGTGATAAAGAGGAATTAATCTATTCCCTCCAGAGACATTATAGACTTACCCAAGAAGACTCACCGCTGTAACGATACCCTCCAGAGACATTATAGACTTACCCAAGAAGACTCACAGCTGTAATCAATACCCTCCAGAGACATTATAGACTTACCCAAGAAGTCTCACCGCTGCAATCGATGCGAAAGGTGTTTCTGACACGTATTGACTCTGGGAGCTGAATACTTATGCAATGACTATATTTTAGTTCTTTAATTTGTATTATTCTTTAAAATATATATCATTTTCTTCCACTTCGTCATTACAGAGTATTTTGTGTAGATTGTTGACAAAACATTACAATTAAATCATTTTTAATCCCACTTTGTAACACAATAAAAATGTGAAGAAATCCAAGGGGTCTGATTACGTTTGCAGGTCACTGTAAAATGCTATTTCTACAGAATGACTTGCTTGACTTAAACCGTTTTTACCCCTGTTCTAAGGAGCACAGAGAGAATATCCACTGTTCCTCGAGGTCCTTACATCTCTGTTTTTCAGGTCAGGTGTTCCTTTGTCTCCTGGCACGGGTTTAGTAAACAACACAGTAAACAACAACAATAACCATAACAACAGCAAGCGGTGAGATAAACCTTTAACCAACCTTGAAGAGACTCTCCAGGATACCAATGATATTGTGTAGACAGTGACACTAGACTGGGTAGTATAATGTAATGATGAGGTTAATGGACTGGTAAGTGTGTGTGTGTGCGTGTGTGCGTGTGCGTGTGTGCGTGTGTGTGTGTGTGCGTGTGTTGTTTCAATTCAATACGATCTACACCACCGTACTTCTTCTGTGGTACTGTAATGGTGAAGATAGTGGGAACGGTTTGATGGTTCTACTAAGCTAACATATGGAATTGTTTTAAGATGTTCTTGAATCCAAAAATATATACAACCATTTTTTTTTACAAATAAAACATTGAATTTGGCCTTACTGCTGTTTTAAAGTGTCTGTCCTATAACTGAGAGATATAAGAAAGATCAGGATATTTTATTTTTTTACAGACATTTAACAAAACATTTTGGCACTAAAACTACTTCCATATGTACTTCCATTCCTTTTTTTGACTGGTACCCGGCTACCTTCAGACGAGTCTTGCCAGGCTTGTGGGCATCCTAGAGAAAAACGATCAACGTACGGACGCTACAGAAGTTTTCATGAGAAGACTGACATTTCTGGATGTCTCATGGTCTGACAAACACCGCTGTAGCTCGGCCACCTTCCACCGCAGATGTGGAAGGCCGCCATTGGCAGATGAGGTGGATTGAGACGCAGCCTCTAGCTTCTCTAGCTTAAACTGACAGATTTTGATGGGGATTTTTTTATTATGCCACATAGATTTCTGCGGGGGACTGTACATCGACTCTTGGGTTTTTAACTATAAAGAACCCTTTACTGAACTCCATCTAGCTACATCAGTATGGAGAGTGAGGAAATAAACAAATGAATGAATGAGAGAATAATAACCTTAGAAAAATAGACAATAAAGGAAGAGAGATATGGAGAGAGGGACAGAGAGAGATATGGAGAGAGGGTTAGAGAGAGATATGGAGAGAGGGTTAGAGAGAGATATGGAGAGAGGGACAGAGAGAGATATGGAGAGAGGGACAGAGAGAGATATGGAGAGAGGGTTAGAGAGAGATATGGAGAGAGGGACAAAGAGAGATATGGAGAGAGGGACAGAGAGAGATATGGAGAGAGGGACAGAGAGAGATATGGAGAGAGGGTTAGAGAGAGATATGGAGAGAGGGTTAGAGAGAGATATGGAGAGAGGGACAGAGAGAGATATGGAGAGAGGGACAGAGAGAGAAAGGGAGAGAGTGAATAAAATATAGAAAGATAGTGAGAGAGAATAGAGGAGTGTGTTAACCTCCAGGTCAAGGCCGGGGTCAGGGTGTCTCAGTATCCACAAAGTGTTCTCTCAGTATCCACAGAGTGTTCTCTCAGTATCTACAGAGTGTTCTCTCAGTATCCACAGTGTTCTCTCAGTATCCACAGAGAGTTCTCTCAGTATCCACAGAGAGTTCTCTCAGTATCCACAGTGTTCTCTCAGTATCCACAGAGTGTTCTCTTAGTATCCACAGAGTGTTCTCTCAGTATCCACAGAGTGTTCTCTCAGTATCCACAGAGAGTTCTCTCAGTATCCACAGTGTTCTCTCAGTATCTACAGTGTTCTCTCAGTATCTACAGAGTGTTCTCTCAGTATCTACAGAGTGTTCTCTCAGTATCCACAGAGTGTTCTTTCAGTATCCACAGAGTGTTCTCTCAGTATCCACAGAGTGCTCTCTCAGTATCCACAGAGTGTTCTCTCAGTATCCACAGAGTGTTCTCTCAGTATCCACAGAGAGTTCTCTCAGTATCCACAGTGTTCTCTCAGTATCTACAGAGTGTTCTCTCAGTATCTACAGA